TCATTCACAGCAATGACGACATCAGCAAACAAATCTGGGGAAATGATTTTGTCAAATTTTCCAAGTCTTGGTCATCCGAACTATGCTAGTGATGTTAGGCGTTTCTAATGTAACGATGTCATCCATCACGGAACATCTGGATCTTCCATTTGTCTTGGTGCTTAGTCGTCATTTTTTGTTCAGATGAGGGCAGATAACAATAAAAGATATCATCATTGCCGATCCCAAGCCTCGGTGATAAAGGACGACAATTACGGAATGTAGTGAAGCCTGCCGTAAAACTCACCCACCTCTCCCTCGTACTATTGTGAGTGTAAATGTTGTGCGCATCCATTTGCGGCACGTGCGAAGTCCTTGATCTTTTGATGCTTTGCTCTTAGTTCCTTTTATGAGAAACCGTGCGATTATTCGGAAGATCAGATGTTGTAGTAAAAGTGAATGGCAAAATTCAGTGACAAGAACACTCGCCACAAGTCTGCATTTTTCAGTGATGATTTCCATCAATCGCAGGACCATCCTACTGAGGTTCCATGAGCTTAAGGCGCATCTTGCCGTGCCGCTTTTCGACGGCACTCGCTTTGTCATTCCCTTACAAGAAACTTAGCTACATCGCACGGACGATGAAAACATCCTCGGTTTGGATGATTTAGTTTGTTACTACACGAATTGTTTTGTATTTATTCATTTGCTATATCCGGGTTTGTGGCAAATCATCGTATGCCTTATGGTTTGCTTAAATAAATTTGACTGATTGGCTGACTGACCGATCACGCATTATCTGAGAATTAAATGAACAGTAGCTGTCGATGTTTTTATCCGTGCTTGCAATCGGAGCATTTTTCTCCTAGGCATACTCGCTTTAACATCGAGGCGTAAGGAAGTCTTTCAACTTCTGATTACAGCTGTGTTATGAACGTACGAACAGCAATGTTCAAACTGATCGGTGATACTTCACCTGTAAAAACATCATAGCGTCAGCATAGGGGCCATGGAGCAGGTTCAGTATGAACTAGTTCTTTTCGTACATGTAAATATTGGTATTTTTGTATATTCTGCATCGAACCACATAAAGAAAGGCAAGTTTTATCTCTTTTTGCAGTGAACCTGATTTGACTCAACATACCTCATTGTTCGCACTTTTCAGAACTCGTGTCATTCCGGCTACGGGCCATTAGTCTGTTCATTACGCCGCTCGGTCTCCGTGACCGGGACGGTGAAGGTGGGTTTGTGAAGGAACTCATTGAGGTAGAGAAGCTAAAACATTCTCGTCACGCTGTAAATGGAAAGTTATTTACTAAGTGCCAAATGTCCAAAGAGGATATGAGCATATAAGGTTTTACCTACTTTAGTAGAGATTGAAGGGAAGGTAAGGAAATAATATCGGGATATGAGCCGAATTCTACATTACTCATGTCGCTTTCGAGCGGCAGATGGCGAGTGTTACCTGCGTAGCCATCGATCTACATTGAAGAAGTAATATTTGTTGAATTTGATCCTTCTTCACTTGTAGTAGTTGTTTAATTCGCTTAGAAACACCTTGGAAAAAAGAGGAGTGGCACTCTACCGATGGACCATGGACCACCTAACGTCTTGCCGGCAAATGAGGTGATGACTGTCCTCGTTGGTCATTGTTCTTTTGGACAGTCAGACTAATTGCTCATCACCGTGGTTATGTCGGCGGTTTTGCATGTACACCGAAGGCGCCTAGGGACCATCGAACTTTTCGCTTAATCCGGTTGATTCTGCGTTGTTGTCGCGAGTTTTGTCAAGCATGAACCATGTCCTGTTTTGTGATTGATGCATTCTCTTCCTGTGCCGATAGAGGCACCACAAATAGATGCGTTAGTCAGTGATATTGTACAGATAGTGGTTTCTGACCACCGACCGAACATGTGATGTTCAATAGGGGTTGCTCAATCACTGGAGTATCGGACTAAGAAACGAGATGTCCCGGTTTCCATTCGGATCATCCGCTCTTCTTCCTTCCGAGGTTGATAATGGCTACCGTTCTACTGGAAGAAAACAGAAGAGTACATACTATGCTCGTCACATAGCTACAGTCAACTTTACTTTTAAACTGAAGCACTCCTGGAAATGAAGATCAGCATCCCAGCATCAACTTCATGAACACAAGGACACAAAAATGGCCCTATCCTGGACGTGCAAGGAAGAACGACATTTTAACGGTTACGAATGAAACAAAGTTCTTATCAAGCGCTTCACTAAATCAGACCCTGGAGGTCTTAGCATCGCAGGTACGAGGAACGACCACCGTGGTCGGTTAGTGCTCCGGAAAAGAAAATACAGAAAAACAATTTGTAGCCGTACGGATGACGGATGACTTACAGAACCGTCTCTCTTACACTTTCATGACGGGAACAGTTGGTCTCGCTCTGCTTTTCAAACAGCCAGTGGTGCAGCGTTGATAATAATTTCGTTTCGGTAATTTTTGGCTATTCTGGTATCCCAGAATGAATGAATATACCTTTTCCAGATATAACATTTCAAAGCGATAATACGTTCTGGAAATCTGTAATCATCGTGCTACCTTTATAGTTGAAATCGTGAGCATTTCAGTTGTGATAAGCACTCCGTAATAAGAGAAGTGAAACTCACAGAACAATGGCAGACTCGTATTTGTGTAAATTTTCTTTCGAAAAAAAATGAAGAAGAAAAAACAACTGAAATAATTGTTGAAACAGTTTTTTATTTTGTCGCATATGTGATAATTTGTCGCTAAATATACATTGATTTTCTTTTCAAGAAACGTTCATCCAAAGCTACTTCCATTTCTGTGCCATCAGCAAGGAATGTCTTATTTCAGAGGTACTGTCAGTAGCATTGTGACAAGTACACTACGCAGCTTCATGTTCCTTACCACAGAGTAGTATTATTTTATGTACATCGGAAGGTCGAAAAGCAAGTGACCCGACTGTGCCTGGAACCCAAGGCCTGTTGACTCAAAGTCAGACGCTCTACCAACGTTCAATCCTCTGTCGAAGCATGCCGGCGAGATTTGCCACGTCGCTCGCTTCAGCTGTTCATCCAAACCTAAAGACATTGTGGAGAGAACGTTATGATGGATTGAGCTAATATGGATCCGACCGATCGCAGCCATTGATCCGTATTGAGTAGCTGATCGGCATCGTGTCCGTTTGTTTATTTGGCCACTGAACGATTTAAACACCGAGACTTGTTAAACGATTCCTTACAAATGTTTCGGTTGAACAGCTGAAACAAACCTTCGTCGAATTCTGGGGAATTTCGTAATTTTTTCAAAATATGTCTTCTGGAAATGAGCTTCATTGAATTGTGTTGAGGTGAAAGGGTGACACAGCCATGAGGCATTTTGGCTAAGAAACATTCTCATGTTGACAAAAGCGATCAGCGCTTCTTTGCTCCTTTAAGCCGACTGGGTCTTAAAGTTTTTACAACCGGCCGGGACTCCGCCGAATACAAGTTTCCACCTACTGGTTTCGGATAAACGCGTCAGTGACTCATGGAAAAAACACGGTGCTTCGCAAGGACTGTATTCACAGTTGTGTGTGATTCTCTGGTTAAGTACGGTGATGAGTTTATAACGGGAGACTTCAGTTAAAACAGCATGCATTTATTGACAATTTTTTAATCATGTGACAGGAAATAATGCTGGACCGATCTTGTAACTTTCTTCCTGCTTGTTCATGATTCATTTTGTCTGTTCCAGCGTGAATGTTTTCAGGATCTTTCCTTTTCGCCAA